CGGCAGAAGTCTCGACCCCTCTCTCGGTGCAGTTTCGCGACCGAGATCCGTTTTTGCTGCTGTCCCGGGGCCCGACAAGAAAGCAATGCTGAAGCAAGCCGTGTCGTCGCAGCGATCTGGGGTCACAGTGAGGAAGAGGAGAAAAATATATCTACATATCAAATATTCATATGACATCTATATCTATATATATAGAGAGAGAGAAATATGCAACCTAACAAACAAACAAACAAACAAACAAACAAACAAACAAACAAACAAACAAACAAAACAAACAAACAAACAAACAAACAAACAAACAAACAAACAAACAAACAAACAAAACACAACAAAAAACGGAAGAGGAAGGCGGGTCTGCACGCGCGGGCGCAGGTGCGGCACACGCCGTCCTCGCCCTCCTCGCGGGCGCGCAGGAACAGGACCAGCGTGTGGCCAGACCACAGCTCCGCCGCCTGCTGGCATGGGGAGGGGGAGGCCCGAAGGCAACGAATCATGAAACCGTCAGGGCCTTGCAGCAGGGAGCCCGAAATGCGGAGCGAGGCCCCTCGTTGTACCAGGGCGTTGGCCGGACCACATCGCCGCCCGCAGGCACAGGGGAGGACAGGAAGCTTGAGGGTCGAGGCCTCTGCATGCTCTTTGACCCTTCTTGGGCATCCTGGGACACCCTCGTCGCCTCGGCTGGACTCCCCTCGAGATTCTGGACAAAGCGCAACCAGACCGAAAAGAACCAGCGACAATTTAGTCGCAGAGTCTCTCTGCTGGCACCCGACCCGCAGATCCTGCAAGCGAATCCGAAACTTCAAATCCGCCGACCCAGTCGGCGTGTGAGACGCTGTCGTCGTCGTCGTCGTCGTCGTCGTCGTCGTCGTCGTCGTCGTCGTCGTCGTCGTCGTCGTCGTCGTCGTCGTCGTCGTCGTCGTCGTCGTCGCCAAAAAGCGAACAGAGACAAGACACGCGAAAAAGAAACGTTGGAGTTTAGTCGCTTCCCTCCCCTTTTCCCCTCCCTGAGGGCGGGGAAAGGGGACGGTAGAGGGGGGGGGGGTCCAGGGTCAGATTGTCATCCCCCATGGGGGCCCGGCGGGCCTCCCTCCCCTCTCCCGGGCGGTGCTCCACTGTGGAGAAGGGGGGCACAAGGGTGGTCTCCCTGCCGGCAGGGGAGCTCAGGACCCCTCCCCCCGCCTCGGCCTGGCCCCGGCCCGGGTCCCAGCCCCGGCCCCGGCCCCCCCGCCCCAGCCCCGGCCCCCCGCCCTGGCTCTGACACAGGCCCCACCCCAGCCCCAACCCTATCCCCCCTGCAGCCCCGCCCGGCCCGTCCCCAGCCCCGGCCCCCTGGCCCCGGCCTCGGTCCCCCGGCCCTGGCCTCGGCCTCGGCCTCGGCCCTGGCCGCGGCCCCGGCCCTGGCCCCGTCGCCTCCCAGACGCCCTTCCCCGAAGAGACACATAATAGCTCTCATCCTTTTTCTCCTGCTCCTGCTCCTCCTCCTCCTCCTCCTCCTCCTCCTCCTCCTCCTCCTCCTCCTCCTGCTCCTCCTCCTCCTCTTCTTTGTCCTCGTCATCGTCCTCGTCCCCGTCCTCATCCTCGTCTAGGATTAAGACCATCGCCGAGTCAGATCTTAACCTCCCAGGAGCTGCATCCTAGTATATCATCTGTGCTTTCTACTATAATGTCGAGGCCAGCGCACTCTGCGTGCAAAGCGTGCCAGAGGAACTACATGCGGGAATGACTCTGTTGTCGCCGGTTTCGGGGCCTGTGAGCACCCAGGGCCAGCACCCTCGGCATCCACCCTCTGAGCCTTCCGCGCAGCAGGTGCCGCCGTGGCGCGGCCGCGGCGACCGCCGAGACCGCCGCTGCGGCCTCGACGGCGGCCGCCACTGCGGCCACGCTGGTGGCGGCCGCTGCGCGGCACCTGCCACCCAGAAGCTGCGGAGGGTAGAGGCTCGGGGGTACACCACGCCGCCTAGTCGGCCAGGGAGCTAGGCGCATGGACGCCCCAGCCTCCCGTGCTCCAGGCTGCTGGAGCGCCTGCACATCACTGACTTCCACCGCCCAGGATGGGGCCCGGCTCCGCGGCCGCCCAGACGGCGCGGCGTGCACGTCGAGCCCCTCCGAGGCGCCCGCGCCAGCACCGAGGCCCTGGCGCGGCGCCGACTGAGCGGCAGCTGGGCACACGCACGGGCACCGACAGGAAAGCGGCGTGCGCAGGGGGGTCGGCGCGTCGCCCGGAGAGCCCTGCCGCGAGGGACCTCCAGCAGGGAGCGAGGCCCTCCTGGGCAGGCGGCTGCGCCCAGGGCAGCGCTCGAGCCCTGGGCCGGCTCCGAAACCAGAGCGCCTTATTTGTCCCGACCTTCTCTTTTGTTACTGTACCGGCGAGAGGGCGCGCCCGAGGCGGAGGAGGGCAGCAGAGGCATCCACGGCAGAAGCTGCCGCGCTGCCTTTTCGGTGGCACCTCCCTGGAGGCTAGACAGGCGCCTTCCACGACTCGCAAGGTAACTGCTCGCAGATGGCCTGGCTCCGCCGCGAGGGATCCACGATCCATCACACCAGACGCAGGCATGTTTTTGGGTCGGACTTCTGCGAGTAGTGGAACGCGCCGCACGTCCACTGACACCTCTCCTGAGCTGCTGGCGTTCCGTGAAAAATCGCTCCGGTTGGACAAGACATGCGAATGTGTGTACACGTGTGCTGTGTGCGACGTGTGCTGTATGCGTATGAGAACTCTGTCAAGTTAGAACAATGATCAAAACGAAGACTGCATGCTCTACTCCCTATCTGACTAACTACACGGGCAAGCTCAACGTCACATTGAGAACTAAAACCTCGAACAACTCAAACCTCGTTCAAACAACGAGTACACTGAGATCACAGGGGAACGTTACCTCTGGACACCACCCAAATAAACGTCGTACGTTGCACTTCTCATTGCTAAAGCTGAAACTGACTGTTGTTGAACTTCTCTTGTATACCTCGGATATGGAAATGACGCGAAAGCACCAGCTGAGTTTGCGGATGTCGTTGACTGACTTGACTACCTGCCAGACCACCCCAACCCAACCCGAAGACCCGAACGTGACCCGAATTTCGGGTTGGGGGGGTACGGGTTCCATGTTTTTGTCCAATGTTCCCCGACCCCCCCCCACACTGGAAATGGATGGCAAATTGAGGCCTTCGGGTTGGGTTGGGGTGGTTTGGTGGGTGGTGATGACTCGCCTCCCTCCACGGCATATGCCCCCTGATTCGGCCTCCGGAGATAACTGCACGTCCAGGCCAGCTGCACGGAACTCCAGCGAAGGAGGTGGCAACGGCGTGGTAAGCTCCTCCGGGAAAGCAGATATATGCATACACATGCACATACACATGCAAGTTACAAGCAACAAATTACCGAAGGCATGCCCGACCGAGAATCCGAACGGAAACCGTCCCTTGCGCATGATGTAAATGCAACCAGACCCGTTCACTCATGGCCAAACCTCACAACGGGAAGCTCAATGTGTACATGCCACATACACTACGTCAAGAACGTTTGCAAACACTGGCTGTTCTGCAAAGTTCGTCATCATATGAAACCACAATGCGTATGATGGAAGGTGTGCACCGTGATAAGAGCAACAATTGATGCAAGTACCACATTGCCGAACGTGGTCCAATCCTGATAGCTCTGGCAACTATAGAACTACACTGATTTGCGCAGGGTCGGCGTAGGTGTATAGTTTGTTCCCGCCGACGGTAATTACGCTTCTTGTGCTGTACTGGCGCACTGGGGTCCCTTGGCGATGGTCAGTCAGCCAATTCGGGCGTAGAGAGACAAGAGCACCCGTGAGATCGCAGACATGGGCCTCCCAACTTGTTCACCTGCGCATCCAGATGCCAATAAGCTCTGCCCACGCTCCCCTGGTTTCAACGTTGCCTGGCACGCTCCCGACTTTCACCTGAGTGCGAAACACGTCAGTCCCGGCAACTGCGGACAAGAGTGAAGGGGCACGGGGCACGGGGCGCTGAAGGGGGGGAGGGCGCCGAGAAGGACAGTCCCAACCGCCCTCGACCTCCACCGATCGAGCCTTGCGCGCAGCAGGTGCCGCTGCGGCGACCGCACCTGCCTTCTGGGAGGTGCGGAGGATGTAGGTCGAGGGGAGGGCCAGTCCCGCCCCCTCGCTCTGGCTGCGCGTATCATCCACGCCTCTGTGGGTTGAGAGCTACTGCCACTTTTCGGCATTGCCCGCTTCTCGCTGTCTGCTGCCTCCTTCCAGGCGCGCTGTGCTCGGGGGACGCCGGCTTCCCACTTGCACTGCTCTTGGCCAGGCCGTTCCTGGGCACACCATCGGTGCAAGAGCCTTCCTGGCTGCTTGCGAGTGGGCTCGCACCTCGAGCTCGGACTTTCCCCACGTGCTCCCCGCCCGTCTCGTCTCCGATCTGCATCGTCCACCGTGCGATGCCTGCTGTCCGCATCGTTCGCCTCCCTGCCCTGCTCGCCCTCCTCGTCTCTTCTCTCTCCGCTTCTGTCGCTCAGGCGAGGCGCTGCCTGTCCAGATTCGTGCCCCAAGAGATCACCAGGCATCAGAAGTCCAACTGTTTCCAGCACGGTGGGGACCTGTTGCACTACCCATCCGTCGGAAGGAGTGAGTAGCTGCAAGGAGTAGGAAGGCGTCGACAGTAGATTGGACTCCTGCCCGCCCCCTGAAGAAGAGAGAAGAGGGAAGAACGATCGACCTTTAAAATAAGAAGGTGCCCAACCTAGAGTGAGATCTCGGAATCCATTAAACGACAGGTGGGTATTGGCGCGGACAAAATCCCACCAGCCTTCTTGGCTGCAGGTGACCTAGGACTGTGCCCTAAGCTCCTCTCTGCAACCCTCGAACACCAGGGGAAGAGGTTCGTCTCTCTCCCTACCTCCTCTCCATGATCCTGACTTCCGCGGATAGCTGGGTGTCACGGCCTCGCCGTTCGCTTCGTCGACCGAACACGCCGTCTCCGGGAAGATAACCGAAGAGGAGCCAAAGAGGCTGGAAAGAGAGCCTCGCAATGATGACGGTACACTAGTTCCGCAGTTTCTTTCTGGCGTGACTTTTCCGCCCGCTCCTCCGAATCATTGCCACCCTCGCTCTTCGTGCTGGTACTCTATCAGATCGGACCAAACCATATCGCACAATTCCCCACCACGCTATACTGGGAGCGCAATAGTGGGCCAAACCAGACATAACCGCGCACGAAAAGACCAGCAAAGACCGGAAGACCCGAACAGAACGGACCGAAGGAGAGCGATCCGTTTACGTCCACAGACCGAACCCCCGTGGACTGCGGACACGTCGGTTGCACATGGGAACTCACGGACGCAAGACGCACGGAAGCAGGAGCACTAGAGGACGAAGACCTCGAAGGCGAGCCGAGACCGGTGCGGAACACTAAGACGAAAAGGGGGATGAAGAGCATGAGCGCAAGAGAAATCAGGAAAAAACACTTGGATCAGCCCTCTTTGTATTACGAGGGGCAGACGAAGCCTCCTATTGGAACAGGGGGGCAGAAAAAAAATAAGCCAAGAGGAAGAAGAAGCCACCAGTTAAGAGGAGAAGGATGGCAACCACGCCTCTTTCTATTGTCAACGTTGCGCACCCCGACGTGCGCAACAAAATGGGACCAGGTCGCGCATCAAAGAAAAGCTGAAGGACCAAATCGACGCACGTGACAACACGTCCCACCACATCGGATTCTACCGCACGCGCCCAGACGACACTGTACCACACGAGTCAACTTGATTGATCACGAGATCCCGCAAAAGATGAGCGAGACACTGATCGCGGAATGGACTGCTGGGGACACGTGAAGCGTTTTACCGTTAAAGATGACGTTCGTGTGGAACCCTGCGAGAGTGACCAGAAGGCATCACATGCATCCAAATTGCCTCGAATGGAGAAGCTGCAGTCCAAGTGGCGTGCTGCAACATGGCGAAATCACTGCGATCAAAACGCTCTGAGAAAGAATGGCTACGGCGATAACGTTGATAGTGTCTCGGCTCTGCGTTGACGGAAGGGATCGAATACACGTCACAAGTTGCCAATTCAATTCCTTTTGGGTGCCTGAAGGATACCCTCTGAGAGAACAAATCCGAAGGCCGTCGTCTGAAAAATAGGCACTCGAAAATCATGCACAAATGGACAAGCAAAGCTATGCCTCTACGGCTTCGGTCCCAGCTCTCTCACCCTGCTGAAGCAAGGGCTTGGCTTGAACACGCTCACGTGCACGGCGCGACATCAAAGACCAGGATGTAGTGGCAAGCAAGGTCGCGAACATGATGCAATGGAGGTAGGTACCGACAGTGGATCCCCAAGCTAGCCCAAGGTATCCATACTCAGCGGGCCAAGCTAGAAAGCACGACACCGGCAGGCCAACGGCATAGTAGGCCACGATAATGACGGGAGCCAGCAACGCATGTCGCCCACAGCCCTTGAGTGAGCCTGCTATGCTGGCAGCCAGGCCATCAGCCAGCACGTAAAGAGCCGAAATAGACAAGACCGGCATCACGTGCTCTATGACCTCCACGTCGGTGGTGAAGAGCTGCGCCCATGCGCGCCGGCCCGCGACGACGGCCATCGACAAAACAGCCACGCACGCAAGGCCCAGCAAGCACGAGACGCACGCCGCGTGCTTGGCGCGTGCGGGCTGGCCTGCGCCGAGCTCGTTGCTCACCCGGGTATTCGCGGCGATGCCGACGGACAAGGGAGGCATGAAACAGACGGAGTCCGTGGTGGCCATCAGAGACATAGCCGCCAAGCTGAACTTCGCTTCCGGCAGCGTGCCGGCGAGGAGCACCGTGATCTCGGATGCCCACCACTCGGAGATCATCAGGAAGTTCGGTAGCGCGAGGCGGAGGAAAGGGCACCAGCCCCGGAATGCGCCCCACGAGAAGCCTTTCCAGGAGTCCGCTAAACTGGTGCGTAGCAAGCGCCGAGTCCTGAAAATGATCCACGACATCAGGAAGAAATTGGCAAGCGAGGTTGACACAGCAGCGCCGACGAAACCAAACCCCGCCGGGTGGACTATGGACCAGCAGAGTGGCAAGTACACGAGGGCGACGAGCATGCCTCCAGAGCCCGTCGGGCTGGTCACGCGCTGTGCGGCCAACCAATTTTGCAGGCACTGCGTCACCGTGTAGCAGGCAACTCCAGGCAACAGCCACCCCAGATAATCCGCCGCCTTCGCGGCGATGTCCTGCTCCTGCCCAGCCAAGCGAAGCAGGCACGCCGCGTTCATCCACAGAACCGCGATGCCGCAGAACATGACGCCGCACAAAAGCCCGCAGCGCTGCAGGCTCAGCGAGACCTCGGCGAAGTTCCGCGCACCGAAGGCTTGCCCGGCCGTGGTCTGCAGGGTCGAGGCAACACCGACGAGGATGCTGTAGCCCGAGACATTGGCGAGGCTCACTGCCAGGCCAACGGCCGCCAGCTCCGTGGGGCCCTGGCGACCGACAAGCACCACGGAGACGATCGAGCAGTAGCGGTTGCTGAGCATTCCCAGGCAAACTGGCCCAGCCAGGCGCAACTGGTCCCAAGCCTCCGCCCCGAGGCCCCTGCAGGTGTACTGGGCAGGGGAACGAAGAATGACATAAACATAAAAACTCGGGGGTCCGCGCGGATTTCTCGGATCCGCTCTGGACCCCCCTGGCAGCGACTCCAGCGCCGCCCCTGGCACCCTCCGCGCGCCAGGGAGGGGGGTCCAGCGCCGATCCAAGAAATCCGCGCGGACCTCCGATGTTTTATGCGTATGTGATATTTAGTTCCCCTACTGCGGCACCGTGCCATCCGCACGTTCTTCTGGCCACTGCTCCGCTTCAGCAACTCTCGCCTCCGCGCACGGATTGTCGTGCTCGGAGCTTGTCCTCAACATAGAAGTCACTGTCATCGCTGCCCACGACCTTCCTTCGTGGCTCCTCCCGCAAACGCGGCTTCACACTAACACGTCATCGTAGACCCATCGAAGTGAAAAAGAAAACCATACTGAGCACAAGTTGCCACGGGAAAGAATGTCATGGGGCGATGATGTTGATTGCAATGATGACGAAAACGAATGACACTCAAACTTTTAGAACACGGCTCATGCGAAGCGCCTGCACCTCCGTACTGACACTTGTGCCGCAGCAAGAGAGCATCTGCGTAATAGAAGGGCGGGGCGGGCAGAGGGGAAGCAACATCTAGGTCTCTCCGATGGGAAAGGAAAAACGACGTGGGAAGTGGTAAGCGGAGACAGAGGGAGGATGGAGGAGGAAGGATGACGAAATGAGAAGGAGATAGGAGCATGGAGGGGAGGGGAGGGGTGCGGGCATGAGAAGAAGGCGGGGAGACGATATGAGCACGATCGTCTCAATTCCTTCTGTCAGAAACAGGATTATGTATGTATGTGACGTCTGTGCTTGACTAAGCACGATGGCGATGGTTATGCACCTGTGACTCGAGCGTGATGTATTGATGCCGACGTTGATGCTAGATCCTATTTGAAACGACAAAACGACATGTCACTCTCATCCGCCTCTACAGTTATGACACGGTTGTGTCCGCTTGCAGAACTATGGCCAAATTCGTGAACATGTTCGCGTGCTTGCCGTACACAAATCAACATTCCAATACATCCGCGTTTGTAGATGCAGTCTGCCTCCCGGCTACCCACACAACTCTTCAATTATGCCTAGAGGTATGTGTGTGCTGAGTTTGATGGAAGCCTCTGCCATGACGTCCTCTAACTGACAATAACCCTTAATGTGTTGAAGTCGTCGCGTCGCGTCCCGAATGTAATTTAGCATCAGAGGCTGCCAAGTGACAGGCCGATTGGGTGTCCTAATAAGCCATTGGCGTGGAAGTGTTCGTGCGAGTATGCACGTATATTAATATATGCATTTATTGATACATGTAGATGTACATATATGCAACGTTGCGAGCATTCCGATATATATATATATATATATGAAAATGTGTATATACAAATATATATATATATATACATATATATGGATGTATGGACGGATGTATGTATGTATGTATATATGGATGGATGGGTGGATGTATGTGTATATGACGACGTATCTAAGCATATACATATATACACATATACATGAATGTGCCTGTGTACGTATATATATATATATATACAAGAAAAAACGTATAAAATGCACCACGTGTGTATCCGCCCCCGCGTCCCGAAGCACGAAGTGAAGTGTGCTCATGGCCCACTGCCTGGAGCTCCAGGCGCTCACAGGAGCTCTCCAGGCTTGGCGCGTATTCCCACGTGCTCCCGCGTAACCTTTCCCGAGGCTCGAAAGCCCCAAGACGAGCGGAGAGGGACCCAGGAGGCCTCCAAGATGATCCAAGAGGACCCCGAGGCAGTCCAAGAGCGCTCCGAGACGCCCGAAACGGCTTGACCACGGCCCAAGAGGACCCGAAGACGCCCAAACGGATCCAAGAGGCCCCTAAAAGTATTGACTCCTCTGTGGTTTTTGCGTTCTCACCTTTTCTGGCACCCGACATTCCAAAATAACCCAAGAGGCCCCCAAGATCGTCCAACACGGCCCAAGAGGCCCCTAAGAGGGAGCACCAAGACGGACCAAGATGCCATCAAGACTGCCCAAAAAGCCTCCAAGACGACCCAAGAGGGCCCCAAGGGAGGTCCAAGAGGTGTCCAAGAGGGGGAAAGTGGGAACTCGACGTTAAATAGAAAGTCACCAAGAGGCCCAAAAGAGGCCCCAAGAGGCCCCCAAGAGGCCCCCCGAGAGGCCCCCGAGAGGCGAGAACACACAACAAAAACCGCATCCAAGAGGCTTCCCCCGAAAGAACTCCCAAGAGATCCCTGCAGGCATCCAAGGGGTATCTGACATACAACCCAATTACGGTGGCGGGATGAGCCGAAGGCCAGAAGATCCGCCGCCCCCTTTTGATGTATGGTGCCTGGCGTGCCAAACGATATGGCTTTTGGTGTTGGTTCTTTTTCCAAAAGAACTCCCCCTGGGGCTTCGTCACGTCCCGCTGGCCACCCGGAAGAGGCGGTTGCAAACGGTTTTCCTGCCCCAGGCGGCCCCAAGATGGCCTCCAAAACGAACAAGATGCCACCAAGACGGCCGGCCACGATGGCCTCCAAGACGGCTCAAATGGTCCCAAGATGCCTCCAAGACGGCGTAAGATGTACCCTAGACGGCCTAAGATAGCCTGAAGATGGCCCAAGACGGCCCAAGAGGCCCCCCAGAGGCCTCCAAGACGGCCCAAGAGGCCTCCAAGAGGTCCTCCAGGAGGGCCCGAAGAGGCCAAAATCATTGACTTTCCTAAGGTGCTTGATGGATTTGGAAATTTGCTTCTTCTCGGCATTCCGACGGCTCAAGACGGCCCAAGAGGCCCCCAAGATCGTTCAAGAGGCCCCCAAGAGGGCCCCATGACGGCCCCAGTGGCCTCCAAGACGGCCCCAAGAGGGCCCCAAGACGGCCCAAGAGGCCTCCAACACGCCCAAGATGGCCTCCAAGACGCCCAAGATGGCCTCCAAGACGGCCCGAAGCGCCCCAAGAGGGCCCCAAGTCGGCCGAGAAAGGCCCCCAAGACGGCTCCCGACGGCGTCAGACGTGCCAGGAACCCACCAAGATGGCCAACAAAGCTGGCCCAAGACGGCCTAAGAGGCCCCCAAGAGGGCCTCCAGGAAGGCCAAAAGAGGCCAAAAACATTGATTGTCCTAAGGTTTTTGACGGATTGTTTGACATTTGCTTCTTTTCGCCTCCAAGACGGCTCTGAAGCATTCCAAGAGGGCCCCAAGTCGGCCCATAGAGGCCCCCCAAACGGCTTCCGACGGCGTCAGACGGACCAGGAGCCCACCAAGACGGCCGAACATGGCCCTAAGATGGCCCAAGATGACACACGAGGCCTCCAGGAGGGCCTCCAGGAAGGCCCGAAAAGGCATAAATCATTGATTTCCCATGGGTTTTTTGAAGGATTGTGACATTTGCTTTTTTTCTGCCTTCCGACAGCCCGAGACGGCCCAAGTGCCCCCAAAGATCGCCCAAGAGGCCCAAGACACGGCCCCAAGAGGCCCCCAAGACGGCCCAAGAGGCCTCCAAGACGCTCAAGATGGCCTCCAAGACGGCCCAAGAGCCCTCCAAGAAGTCCTCCAAGAAGGCACCAAAGGGTCAAAATGGCCTCCAGACGGCCAAGATGACCTTCAGGATGCCCACGTGTTCCCCGAAGGCTTTCCAAACCGCTTCGGGGAACACATGGTCCGATAGCTTGGCAGGTCTGGCCTCAACGTTCGGCCACATAGGCGCTTCCACAAAGTCGGGGGGCGGCGGTGATTCGCCGTAGGCGTCTTCGATCCGCCGCTCCCTGTTGGCTTACAACAGGAGCGCCCGGCGTACCAGATTTCAGGAGGTTTTGGACTCTTTTAGAACTTCCCCTGGGGCGTCGGCCTGGCGCGCCGGTCATCCGGGAAATGTACATGTCAATGCCTTCCTCGCCCAAAAAGACCAAAAACGCATTCCACGATGCCTCCCCGACGGCCAAGATGGCCCAAGATGGTCCCAACATGGCCCCAAGATGCACCCAAGAGAGTCTAAAATGGTCTCAAGATGGCCTGCGACGGCCCCAAAGGTCCGCAAGAGGCCCCCAAGAGGCCTCCAAGACGGCCCAAGAGGCCCCCAAGAGGGCCTCCAGGAAGGCCCGAAGAGGTCAAAATCATTGAATTGATTGTCCTTCGGTGTTTGAACAATTGTAGCATTTGATTATTTTTGGCCTTCCGACGGCCCGAGACGGTCCAAGAGCTCCCGAAGATCGCCCCAAGATCGCCCAAGAGGCCTCCAAGACGGCCCCAAAAAGATCCAAGAGGCCCCCAAGACGGCCCCAAGAAGGCCCCAAGAAGGCCCAAGAGGCCCCAAAGACGCCCAAGATAGCCTCCAAGACGGCTCTGAAATACCCCAAGAGGTCCCCAAGTCGGCCCAAAGAGGCTCCCAAGGTGGTTTCCGACAGCTTCAGACGGACCAGGAACGCCCTAAGACGGGCAAAAAGGGAGAAGCCCCCAAAGGCTCTGAAGAGGCCCAAGGAGGTCCCCAAGACGTCTCCAAGAGGCTCCCAGGGAGCTCCCAGGAGGCCCCAACAGTGCCCCCAGAGGCTCCCAAAATGCCCCCCTCCTCCTCCTCCTCCTCCTCCTCCTCCTCCTCCTCCTCCTCCTCCTCCTCCTCCTTTTCCTCCTTTTCCTCCTTTTCCTCCTCATTCTCCTCCTCCTCCTCCTCGTCCTCCTCCTCCTCCTCCTCCTCTTCCCGACCATCCTCCCCCAAGTGCTCCCCGAAGGGTTTGCACAACGGCTGGGGGGAACATATGGTCCGATAGATTGGCAGAATTCTTGCCACAACGCTCGGCCACATGGGGCGATTCCACAAGGCAAGGGGAGGCGGTGACTCGCCAGAAATGCTTCGATATGAGCGTGTGTATATGGTCACACACAAGCGTATACATATACACACACAAACATAGACATGTATACAGTTATTTACA